CTGAGGCCTGCACTGCTAGTCACTCAATATGAAAATAGGATTGCCATACTTGTGTTTTACAAAGAAAGGTAGCTTTTCAAAATCCCCATAGGAGCCTGCAAGCTTGCTCAAAGACCACCAGTGACTATGTTTTGACTATGCTAGCCCAGGTCTGAAGAGCTATAGACAGCATTGGAACTGCAGCTCAGCTGCAGGATGCTTGCCTTACATGTACCAGGCCCTGAACTCTAGCTTCAGCACTGGGAAATGTTTGTTTGTTTGTTTGTTTGTTTGTTTGTTTTTTATGTAAAGGCTAGGGACCAAGGGCAAGGGTGTTTATCCACACCACCTTATCAAGGTCATATATATCAATAACTGCCACTGCTGGGCAAAGGAGACAGTAGCAGGGGGATGAAGACACCTTCCTTTGGCATAAACAAGTCACCACAGACACACAGACTCAGCAACATGGCCCTCCAGTCACTGATAGGAACACAAGCCTCATGACGAGCATAGGCAATCACAGCTGGAGCAAGAACTGGGTATGGTGAGGGTCAGCCACTATCAAAGCTGGGAACAAAGCCAAGTACACAAGCCACTGCGCCTTCCACCACAGCCAGCTCGGCCTGTCACAGAAGAGGCTGGGAACTAACAAGCACTCCACAGAACTAAACTCCCTCCCCGTCATCCTGCCCTCCTGTCTCTTTCCTTCCATGCCAAGCAGCATCTGGGGTGCCCAGGGAAGCAGGGAGCCAGCACTGCCCATCCCCAGGAGCTGTGCTCATTGGAGGCACCAGAGAGGGAAAGGGTGTCCAGGTCAAGAGTAGGCCTGAAACCTGCAGTCAACAACTATGAGCATGTGACATGGGTGGCAGACCAGGGACAGTCAGCCTCCTGGAGGGTAGTTCAGACACTGCAGGTGGCTCAGGAGCAAGACATCCCAGATCAAAGCGCCAGAACCTAGAGAAGGCCTCATTCAGCATCCTCTCACTGCCCTCATGGTCAGAAGGGCTGATGAGCTCTTGGAGGTCTCATTGCTAAGGATGGATTTCGTGGGGCTTTGCCCTCACAACCTCATCTCAATTGCTTCCACTTCCAATACTGCCAAATCAGGGTCAGCAGTTCAACACATAGATTTCAGAAGGAATGTGTTCAAAGTTTTCATGATGAGAGTGTCATCCTAACAAATCTGGATGCTTTCTCCTGAGGTTAGAACATTCCAGAAGTTTATGAGCATTCAGAAACAGTCGCCTTGTCCAGGCATCTGCCCCAGAGGACTTCTGGATGGAGTGGATATCTGAAGAAGCAGAAGCCACAAGAAACAAGATAGATATGTGAGACCACACAGAGTTCTAGAACCAGGCTTGGCCCTGGAACTCGAGTTGGAACTGATGCTTGAATACTTAGAATGGATTCACAAGATGGCCTCCTCCAAGGCACATGCAGATAACTGTAGCACTCTGGAGACTGAGGCAGGAGGATCTTCCTGGGTTACAAGAAGGAAGGCAAAAAGAAAGGCAGACAGAGTCCCAGCAATCATCCAGAAGCAATTTTAGAAAGCTCCTCCCAGGCACTGCTAGTGTGACAATAAAACATCAAGCAACAGGACAGTGGGCATTCACACCGATTCCCTCTCTGTCGCCAGCCTGGGCCTCAGCCTTCCAGATCAGTGGCCTGCCTCTCTTCGTAGTTATGGCTATGGTTCAGTGGTAGCATGCATCCCTAGCATGCTTGAGGCCTGGGTTCAAACTCCAAAGAAAGCAAATTTTTCACCACCATGAAGTTTGAAGGTGGCTAGCTAAAGTAGCAAATTATTACAAATAGTAAATTGTCTATTGTCTACCAACTTCCAGATTGTTAGATAAGTTTAAAGGCATTGCAGGTCAACAACACTGACTAACAATGCTTAATTTAAATTCTTCTGCTTCAGTTCTAATATGTTAAACTGTTTCTATTTCCCCACAAAATTTAAGACTGTATTTATTCCCAAAAAGAAAGAAAAAGATTCTTTCCCATAAAAAAGAGATATAAAATATAAAAGAAAGGGTCTTGAAGAATTTTAATAGTATTAGCCACTATTTAGCATTTTATGTACCTATGAAAATGATAACCCATATTAAGCATGGTGGCACACACCTGTAATCCCAGCACTCAGACTGAGGCAAGAGGATCATGAATTTGAGACTACCCTGGACTATAAAGTGAGATCCTTTCTCAAAAAAATGCTAACTTAAGCACAGTGAGATTTCCTAATGAAAACAACACCAAGATCTGCAAACATCATGATCTCTGAGTATCAACAGGGAAGGGAAACTGCACAGGCTACTTCCTAGGCTGCCCACTAGAGGACAGCCCTAATCTAGTACAGCATGGCCTTAAATTCTTAAATTGAGAAGCCAAGGGCAGCAACACAGAGAGAGCGATTGACACTGTCAAGAGGCCAGCCTTTCCATTTTCATTGCCCTGGTTGAAACTAAAGTATTTCTCCCTAAAATATGCAGGACTATTGAGTGACAGACATTGAAAATGCAAACCTGGCCTCTAGCTTTCTCTATTTGCCATAGTGTAATTGCAGCATTGAGAGGCTCAGGCAGGAGGATGACTCTCTAATAAGATAGTGATTCAAAAAGAAAAACAAACAGAAACAAAATAGAGTTACCTATGCGTAAGGACTGCTGAGAAATGAAATAACAAAGCACACTGAAAGCTCTGCCAAGAGTTGTTAATATCACAGTGTTTCTGTCAAAACTACAGTGATGGGCTCTGTAGATGGTATAGCCTGTTAGAGGCTTGCTGTGCAAGCATGAGGGTCTGTGTTCAAATCCCCGGCACTCATATAAGACGGCCAACACTTGCCTGTATCATCACTGCTGTACCACACAGAGACAAGAAGAGTTCTGGGGCTTGCTGGCTACAGCTTAGCCCAGGGTCAGTTTGAGACCCTGTCTCAAAAGAGTACGATGGAAAGTGATAGAGCAGGGTATCTGGCATCCTCCTCTGTGGCATGAATTCTCTTTGGTCTTAATAAAAAAATCTAGAATCAGATATTAGGGGGGAAAGCTGAAAGATCAGAGTAGCAAATCACTAGCTACTCAAGAGTTCTCACCTCTACCAATGCTCAGGCCAAAGGGCAACCCTGTCCTCAAAATGCATCTCCAGACTGCATCTGTCTCCACCAAACCTCAGACTCCCTGAGCTCCTGTCTCCTTCCACCTTACATTCCTCTCTAGTGCTGGGATTAAAGTAATGGGATTCCAAGTACTGAGATCACCTTTGTGTGAGCTCCTTTTCTCTTTTAGAGAACCTTGCAGAGGATTCAGGGCAGAGACACCTGCAGGAACCATGCAGAGGATTCAGGGCACTCAGACACCTGCAGCAACCATACAGAGGATACAGATAAGCTGACTTTGGGGAACACATGGTTGGTAGGTTCCTTTCCTGAGCTCCTTGAGGATTTGTGAGAGGTGAGCATCTGAGATGCAAGTCTTCATCTGATCTTGCACCACTCTGGAGACAGCTGCTCCTACAACAGCCACATTTGTACCAAGCCACACCCCCACATGATGAAGCCTGCTATGGTGCATCCTCCAAAACTCTGCAGTGTAACAGTGTTGAGTAGAATCCAGCATTTAAGAGGGACTTTTTCTCAACAGTATGAGTCGGACCACAAGAGTAAGTCCCAGGACAGGCTTCATTACTGACAGGGGACTATTAGAAAGCTTCCCTGGAGTACATGCTCCCCACACACAAACCTGCTGCTCTGCAACTCATGGGCTAACACCAGAAGCAAAAATGCTAGTTCCAGCCTCCTGGGCCTCAGAACTGAGACCTAAGTAAGTTTGGGGGTTTTGTTTGTCCGTTTGTTTGTTTTCTTCTTTATAAATCACTTGGTCCCCAGATATTTCACTGTTGCAGCAGAAAGCAGTAAAGATCTAACACTAACAACAGGGCCTTTATGGAGTTGATCAAGGTTACAGGACTTCTTAAGAGTAGGACTGCTGTTCTTATAAAGAGTGAGACACCAGCGACTCCTATGTGCAGAGGAAAGAAGGCTATACCTGAAAGCCAAAGACAGAAACTAGCACTCCCAGCACTAACTAATCTCAGCACTGCAGCCCCCACGCAGCACAGGAAAAGAAATGCTTGCTAAAGCCTCCTGGTCTGCAATCCTCTGTCCCATCACACTAGCCCAGCACTAACCACACACAGAACCCCGCACTAACCACAGAGCCCCTGCACTAACCACAGAGCCCTGCACTATCCATGTAGCCCTTCTGCCAACCTAGCCAGGGGCACTGGTCCCACCCTCCACCTGCTGAGCTAGTCAGGGAGCATCTATCTTGTTAAATAATTGTTTTGTGTGTGTATGTATGTATGTATACATTCACACACACCCTTCATCACTGTGTCTCTAAGACTTCTTCCACTAGGTGGGGTTGGAAATGGTTAGCACCACCTGATCATTAGACTAATTCATCAGCTAAACTGATTGTAGTGCCTTCTGTGACACTGACCACGCCCATTGGGGGTGGAGCCATGGGCGGAAGTGACCGGTGGAAGGAGGTCTGAGGAAGAACAGAGACCGCTCTCTGCTTGCTGGCGGGACTCGGACAGGAGAGCATCCGCTGGAACTTGCTGGTGTTCATCTGTCTAAGTTGTTAAGTTATTTCTCCTTGAATAAACATCTATTCGGCCTATTTTTTTATCCTGATCCTTATTTAACCACAATAACTGATTGCCCAGAGTCACAGGGAAACTCAGCTAGAAGAGTTTCTTACAGCTGGCTGCATATAGAAGGCCGCTTGAAAACCACAAGGCACAGAAGGTTCCTTCCATCCGTTAGCAGACACACCCCCATGCACCACAAGCTGGCCATGGTTCAGGAATCCTACAGTGGCACCAGCATCAAATACACAGTGGGTACACACTCATCACCTACACACCCATTAGCAAAGCCCACACCTGTATAGGCATGAGCAGAGGTACTGCTGGCACACACACCAGCCTCAACGAGTACTTACGAACTGTCATGGATTCAGGCATGGAGGCAGATGGTAACAGGCTACTAAGAGGACTTCCTTGGCCTGGAGAACTGGCTTCCATACTGGGAGAAAGCAAGCAAAAGGAAGTTATACTTGGCCTAAAACATAATATCAGTGTTCACAACACTGATACGTGAGACATTTCCCCAGAATCTACTGGAAAAACAGAAAGCAGCTGCCCAAGTCAGTCTCTCCTCATTACTGCAGATGTATCTAAAGTTTACTGAAACCCCAAACCAATACAAACAATGCTTTTGCAAGCCATCCATGAGGGAAACTCAGAGTCACTCAATGAGCTTGTTTGCAGCCAAGGTCAGACAAGCTATCACTGCCTATCTGTTCCAACTGTGTAACTGTGAACACACGTCCTTTCCTGGGGCTTTGGGTTTCACATTCTTGTGGTTTGTATCATTGCTCTTCCTAGTTAAAATAGTCCCTGGAAGCATGTTGGTTTTCCATGTGCAAGACTACTTATGGATCAATGGATAAAGAAATAGCATAACAACAGGCTCCCAGCAACCTGTCCCAGCATCCCCCCTGTAAACAGGACTGGTGTTTAAAGAACCTTACAGAGCATAATGACTGCAGATAACTAGACTGGCTGCACATTTACAATCAGTCTCTACTGTAAACAATAGATTGGCATGTCTGTGAAGGAGAGGCCACAGACTGGGACTCACATTCCTCAATCACTATTGCATATGGCAAATGCCCAAAAAAGGAATGAGAGTCCTGGAAGGGTGTGATGATGCCATCTTTTATGAGCATGGGCTCAATGGTAACAGCCCCTGATGGTATGTCATTTTCAGAATCCTGCCTGCTCTGAGTAACAAGGCACCAAGCAAGGTATGGGGCAGCCAGGACCCCCTCACCTTAAAGCTAAGTTTAGCATACACTTTAAGACATCAAATTAAAATCATAAAGTGGGGAGAGCAACAGAGATAAAGGTGATGTTAGGAGACCTCAATGTCCCCTTTGTAAACATCAGTGACACTGGGCCACTTAGTTTTCCATTTGGGTTTTTGGTTGGTTAGTTGATTTTTTGGTTTGTTTGGTTTTTGTTTGTTTGTTTGTTTGTTTGTTTTGGTTTTACAAGACAAGATTTCTCTGTAGCTTTGGAGCCTGTCCTCAAACTCACAGAGATCTGCCTGAGTGCTGGGATTAAAGGTGTGTGCTACCACTGTCTGGCTGCTGCTGCTGCTGTTATTGTTTTAACCTTTTATTATGATTATTATTATTATTTATTTATTTATATGTACAAGTGTATATGTATTGTATCTGAGGTTAGGGCCATCCTCTGGAGCTGGAATTACAAGCAGTTGTAAGCTGCCTAATGTGGGTGCTGGAAATTAAACTCTGGTCCTCTGCAATAACAACATATGTCCTTAACCACTGACCCATCTCTCCAGCCCCTGTTGTTATTTTTAATATGAAAGAGAAAAGCTTCTCTGCACTTACAGTCTGCCAGGCCATAGACTAGATACTTAACAGCTATTATCTTTCCCCATAATCTAAATATCATATAATACTAGGGCTGATAAACATCATTATCAACTACTAACAAACCTTAACTAGGAAAGCTGAGAAGGAGATACTCAGTGTGGCAGCAGAGGTGTGGAGAGGGCAGGGCTATGCAAATGAGGCTCTCCTGGGCATGGAACACTGGGCTTTATGCACACTGTGCCAGCACTCCAGCACTGAGCGGCCGCCCTGGTCTGACACACACAGAACAGTTTATCTGGGTGAATGGTCACCTCTGGCCCTGACAAGTGCACATACGAGCACAAACATGAGGTCAGGCCTTAGCCTTCAATCCTAAAAGGTAGTACTTACTTTAATTGAGAAAAACATGCAAAGATAAACAGCATGTCACAATGCTGACACTGACCTGTATCGAAGGCCAGGCTCTGGGAGTACATGGTCCTCTGGTCCTGTGCCGTTCTCCAGACTTCCCACGGGGGCATCTGTGCAGAAACCATGCAGAGAGTGTTAGGCTCAGCTCTCAACCCCATTTTCTCCTGCTGCTCCATCACTGATTTTGAATTCTTTCCACCCACACACTGGAGTTATCTGCTACCTAGTTCATTGACTCAAGCATCACTAAGACTTGGTACCCGTAGCCACATGTGACTTTTTTAACCTTGAAGAAGGGAAGTTATTCCCGAAGTCCACATCCAGAGCCCAGGGAGGAATCAGGTGTTTTGTTAAACAAATTGTTCCTACTTGTAGTGGACACTAGAGGGCAGCAGGGTCTCAGCACTGGTAAAGTGCGGCTTTCTACAAAAGCCACTAAGCATTTGGGAAGGCATTCCAGGGGAAAGGTGCAGATCTGCAAGCCTGGAGCTGCATGGCGACACTCAAGGGAACCCTTGCTCATTCTCCTGGCCCTCTCATGACCTGACTCCTGAGTCAGGCACAGGATCACAGAGGTGGAGAAAGCCTGTAGGCCGCTCTTCTGCTTCTGCTGAACCCAAGGGAAGCGAGCCTAGAGAAGGCAAACCCTCCCCACCTTTGACTGCACATGCCACTCAACCCCAACTGTTCCCAGTAACCCAGAATACTGCAAGCCTGGTTTCCATCCCAGGATGTGAGGCATCAGTAGGCAAGGAACTACCTCCCACTCCTTGCTACCTAGTGGTGTGGTTACAAGGCATAGACCCTGCTGGTTACAGCACCAAGTCCATGCTCCTCAATCAACTTCAAATCAGAAAGTTACATAGTCTCTCTCTGTGCCTTGCTTCCCCTTTTGTTCTGCTTTCTTTGGTGACAGGGTCTCCTTATATAACCAAGGCTAGCCTCTAACTTAAGCTTTTCCTGCCTCAGCCTTCCAAACGCTGGAATTACAAACAAGCATGTGCACTTTAATAATTATGCAGCATAATTGTTTTGATTTCACTATGTGGCTTGAACTGCCCTGGCACTCACTATGTAGCCCAGGCTGGCCTCAAACTTATAAAAATCCTCCTGCCTCCACCTCCTGAGTTCTGGGATCCCATATATGAGACCCAGTGGCTCTTTGGTCCCTGCCCCTTTTGGTGATCCTACAAAGTCTAGTGTATACTCTTACCTCTCAAGATGACAACTCTCAAACTCTCTCCTTTGGCTGAGAACTCAGCCCTGAATCCTGGCTCCACATTTCTGGCTATCAGAAAGTTCTACTGAGACCTCCCTGGACCTAGCAGTCACCTAGACTTTCAAAAGCCCTGACCTTACAACCCATTTCTGACAGTGCTGTCAGCTTAAGGACACCTGCCCTCTGGCCACCACAGAGCCAGGTGGATCTGCTATGGTTAAATGTCCTGCAAAGGCCTGCAGCTTAATCCACAGTTCATCGTACTACTGACAGGTAGTGGGGTTGAGAGGTAAGACCTGGTTCACTGGAGGATCAGATGCTCAGCCCCTTCCTAGCTCTCTGCTTTTCCTGGTCAGACCGAGGTGAGCAGCTTCCTCTCTTTCATTCCTAACTATGATGTTCTGCCTCACCAAAAGCCCAAGATAACAGAGAAAACTGAAAATGGGATGAAATCTTTGAGCTTGTGAGCCAGAAAAAAAATATACCTTTCCTCCCTATCAGTTGATTGTCTTGAGTATTTTGTTGCAGTAACAGGAAGCTGACAAACACGATATCCAAAATTTCCAGGGTCATGTGCTTGTTTCTGGTTAGAAGGCTCAGTATCTTGTAAGGACCCTTCACAGGAGGCTACAGCAGCTCAGTCACCCTCACTGCTGAAATTCAGCCAAGACTGACAGAGTTCACACATGAAGCAAAACCAAGACTCTAACACCACACATAATGAAATGCATGGCTGGAATGAAGGCCATTGCCACCCAGCCCACATTCCAGATGCAGCACTGACTGGGCCTGTCTGACCATACATCAGCTCCTCTGTGTGGCCGGCACTGTGGTAGACATGAGCTGTGTCACTCACCCTCTGGGCTTCTCTGAAACAATAGCCACTACTATCTTTTATCACATGTATGGTGGTAGAGCTAGAGCATGGATGCTAAGCAATGCTCTACCACTGCGCTACATGCCCAGTCTGTATTATCTTAACTTCACAAATAAGGGGAAAGACCCAAGGGCTTCATTGATTTGCCAGGTTCACAGAGTTAGCAAATGAAGCCCAGCACTGAGCTGAGCCTTCCTCACTCAGAAGCCAGACCCATTAAGCTGAGCATGTTTGCTCCTCTGACTTCCTGGCTCTCCTGCCTTGGCATCTCTGTCTGCCTGTGTCCTCTGTATGGGTATCATTCTCACAACACTATGTATTCTTGCCTGCAGCATTTCTCCACCTCTGCAACCATGTACTCATCCATTCAGCAAGGGTTACTTACTTACTGCCCCAATGTCAAGGTCAGTGTTGTGATGGAAGACAGACCTTTCTAGACTGTGAACCTCACAGTCTAGAAAGAACAGGCACTATCTAGTCACTGCACACTGAGATCAGAGCAATGAGGTCAGCTCTGCAAGGGGACACAGTGTGGGACACAGAGCCTAACCTGCCTGAGAAGGGAGCAGTGGGGAAAAAGAAAACTTGTTATTTAATCAAGAAAGCTATGTTTTCTAGTCCCAGAACTCAGAAAGCAGAGGCAGATTACAAATTAAGATCAGCCTGGTCTGCATAGTAAGTTCCAAGACATACAGGAGGGCTACATAGCAAGACCATGTCACAAACAAGATAAGAAAAAAGGTGGCATCTGAACTACAACTTGAGGGATGCACCCAGGGGTACAGAAAGTGGGAGGAATGAGTAAGAAGCAGAAGCAGGCCAATAGGGATCAGGTAGGGGCAAATGAGAGGAGGTAGGTTACCAGTGCTGGGGTGCTTAATGACTACAGTAACAACAGCAAACTTTATTCCAAGTGCAGAGGGAAGTTCACAACATGGGAATGATGGGATCTGACTATGTGCACCATATATGATTTGTCTGGTAAAAACACAGGCAGGGGCAAAAAAAAAAAAAAAAAAAAAAAGCCATTTTGCAAAGCCCTGAAAAGAAGTGACAGACAGACAGACTAGGGAGATGGAAACATTCAGAGGACACATTCTATACATTTTGCCTTCACACAGATAAAGACAGGTGGTGGTGGTGCACACCTTTAAACCCAGCAGAGACAGGCAAATCTCTGTGAGTTCAAGGTCACCCTGGTCTACAGAGCAAGTTCCAGGACAAGCTCCAAAGCTACACTGAGAAACCCTGTCTAGTGGCTTTAGTAAAACATTGTCTAAAATTTAAAAAACTAAAGGGCTGTGAAGATGGCTCAGTAGATAAAGGCATTTATTGCCAGGCCTATTGCCCCAGTGTGATCCCCAGACCCCATGTGGTGGACAGAGAGAATCGACTCCCAAAAACTGTACTCTGACCTACACACACACACACACACACACACACACACAGTGGCACATCTCCACAGATTCTCATGCTCACAATAAACAATGTAATTTTTAAAAATGTTAATATGGGGCTAAAGAGGGGACTCAGTGATTCAGAGCCTTTGCTGCTCTTCCAGCAGACCTAAATTCAGTTCCCAGCACCCACATCTGGTGGTTCACACTTGGCTACAATCCAATGCCAGAGGATCCAATGTCCTCTTCTGGCACATAACTCATATGAACTCATGTGCACATAGCCAGCCACATATAAGCACATACATATACACACAAAACTGTAAAGAATTTTGAAGGCTACAGATAAACTCCTTTAATCCCAGCATTTGGGAAGCAGAGGCAGAGGCAGGGGCATCTTTCAGAGTTTGAAGCTACCTTTGTCTCATGGTGAGCTCTAGGCCAGCTAGATGTACACAATAAAACCCTGTCTGAAGAAAAAAATTAAAATAAAAATCATAAAAAATTCCAAGTGGTGGTGACACATGCCTTTAATCCTAGCACTTGGGAAGAAGAGGCATGTGTATATGTATGAGCTCAAGGCCAGCATGATCAACAGAGTGAGTTCCAAAACAACCAAGGTTACTCAAAGAAATCCTTTCTCAAAAAAAAAAAAAAAAAAAAAAAAAAAAAAAAAAAAAACTGTAAAAAAGTCTAAGGAGATAGCTCAGTGGTACAGCACATTGTCTAGTATACTCAAGGCCTTGGACTCCATCCTCAGTACTGCCACAAATAAAGATATCCTCTGTCCCCTCCCTGAATGCAAAACCTCAGATTTGATTTCTCTTCAGATCTCCCAAGACCTAGTGGCCATGTGGCCTTGTGTAAGTGGGCTGGGGCTACACAATACAGCCACCTGTCAACTGCCACAGCGTCTTAGCTACCACAGCATATTGACTGCCAAGAACAAAGCTGCCTTCCTTCCCAGAGGGCTCCAAAGTCTATCACAGCAGACTACAGTAGTGTGTGACAGTCATTCCTTGTACTGGTTCAAATGAGATATGCAGGCATTTAACACTTGATCCTCCTCAGTGGTGATGCTGCTTGGAGAGGTTATGGGGAGGTGCAGCCTTGTTGGAGGAAATATATCACCAGGGGTGGGCTGTGAAATGTAAAGCCTTAGCCATGACCAGTTTTTTCTCTCTGCTCTTTGTTCATGGTGGATGATGGGAGCATTCTGCTTCCTTCTCTGGTTGTCATCATGCCTGCTGCCACACCTCCCGATAGGCTCTTACCCCTCTGGAACCAGAAGCCAAAACAAACTCTTTCTTTCATAAGTTGCTTTCCATTGCATCTTATCACAACAACAGAAAACTAGCTAATACACTCCTCAACTTAACAAGCAACTCCAAAAGCTAAAAATGAGGATAAAGAAGCTAAAGGACGTTAGAACCGAAGGGAATGCAGAGTTAGGAGGCCACAGGCTGCAAGTGGGCTGAGAAATGCCCTCAGATTCTCTGCACATCTCTGTATCATCACCAAAGATGTAGACACCAACGTGCACAGCAGAAATAGAAGCAAAGACGTAGGGGCCTTTACAGGATCTAGATGCCGTCTCCCATCCCCCCCCCCCAGGATGTAAAATAATGGTCTTTATTTGTGGTTAACTTTGACAAGTTTAGTAGCAAACTGTTGGAGGCAGGAATGAGAGCCCCTTTCGGGTCTTGCCAAACAGTTTACCCTGAGGCACTCAGCTGTAGTATTTGGAAACAGTCCAGTTCTATAGAAGACCCCACAGACTTCTGAGTGTCCACAAACTGTCCTTGCCCTAAATCCAGATCTCCTAGTTTCCAAACCTACCTACACAGGTAACTCAAAAGCCCTATCTGGTCCTTGGAGCAAAGTTCTTACTGGAAGGACAGGAAGCACCCACCTGCTGAAACATAGGAGCCCACTCCACTGACAGGGAAGAGGACGTCAGTGTCAGCATCAGCATCTCCATGGAGCACCTGCAGTGGGGCCCAGCCATGGACCTGGGGGAGGCACGACTTCCCATCCAGCGGCCTATGGAGAAAGAATGCAGCTGTGTAACAGGGTCTGGGGGCTTATCACACCATCTCCTGGGCCTCCTCAAGTTCCCAGGCCTAGATGGATGAAAATAGAATAAGCCATGGACCAGTACCACAGCGCGCAGGACAGACCCCTCAGCACTGGGGACAAAGAGCCAGACAATGGTTGTGATGGATGCTCTCATGAAGCTTACAGCCTGGAAGAGGACCAAAAAACATCAATCACAACATCCTACAAGAAGATGAAGGCTCAGCTCGGAAGTATTGAGCAGGAAGTAAGGAGGAAGACCCTTTTGGAGAAGGGAGAAGGGCAGCCAACCATGGAGGTGTACACCTACAACCCCAGCACTTGGGAGGTCAAGAGTTTTTGGTTTTTTACTTCTTTAAGACAGGGTCTCCTATGTCCCAGCTGGCTTAGAACTCTGTATATAACTGAGATGACCTTGATCTTCACACAATCACTACTGTGCACTAACTTAGAACATAAAGAGGCTCAACAGATTAAAATCACACCCACTACATACAAGTAAGGAAAGGGGCGGGGGAGAAAAGTCTAATTATGTAGTTTACATTTTTTAAGATTTGTGTGTATGGATGTTTTATCTGTGTGTATGTCTATGTACCACATTCATGCAGTACCCACAGAAACTAGAAGACATCAAATCCCCTGGAACTGGTTGCTGTTAGGTCCAAAGTGACAGTCGGGGCTCAGCCCAGGCTGGACTCTGACCAGGTAAACTAAAGGATCCTAAACAGCATTCTTCAGAACCTTGTAAAGCAGGTTTCTGTTTGTCAGGAAGTCACTATTCCCCTTCTCTGTCCCTAAAGGCAATGGGGCATCTAGTTCACTATTAACCTGTCTTGGCCCACAGAACCCCTACCCTAATTTCCAGGCTCCCTGCCCCTGAATCTTTCTCTTTAAGACTGGCGAAACTTTCCCAGTCTTTTGCAATTCTCTATGCCCCAGAGAGAAAACACAACAATCTTGAATGTCTCCAACCTTTCTTTCTACCCATGGGGTAGTACAGTTTGGTGGCCAGTGCCAACCATTCTACTACTTCTCTGGGCATGTGGAAATTTCTATTTATTTCAAAGACAATTCTTTCCATTTCCCAGCAGCCTGTGTGAGTCAATGTGAAGCTAGACCCACAAGGTTAAGGTTCTAACCCCAATAGAAAGTGGCCCCAAAGGTCTACTGTCTCTGCTAACTCCTAAGGCAACAATCCTCAAAATATGGCATAAAGATTGGCTTAAAAGGGCCAGCAAGACAGCTCAGCAGATAAAGGTGTTTGATTCCCAGGACCCATAAGATGAAAAGAGAAAACTGACTTACAAATTAGCTACACACACACAATTAAGATTGGCTTTAAAATAACAAAATATTGCTTATCATTAAAACAAAATATTTGTTTTGAAACCAAGACAATGTTAAAAAATAATGTGTGGAAGAAAAATAACTGTGGCCACATTATCCCAAACACAACTGGGTGAAAAGGTGTCCTAGGCAGCCAATGTCCATGGTCAATACTAAGCAAAGGGGAATAAATTCATCTTCATGCTGGCAGACATTCATTCATCACTTAAGATGATGTTCAAGGTGGCATAGTGGTACACTCATTTAATCCCAGCTAGGAGGCAGAAGCAGGAAGCTCTCTGGGAATTTAAGGCCAGGACACCAAGACTCCATAAAACCCTGAGGTCAATCCCTAGCACTGTAAAAACTAACAAACAAAAACTGCCCAAGCACCTATCTCCACCCCCCCCCCAAAAAAAAAAGCAAAACTCATTCTAACAACAAAACAGTGTTAGGAGTCTATGCTCTGAACCTATGAAGATAACCTCCCCACCTTCCACACCCCCACTCCCTATGTCCCACCCACACAGGTTAATTGCCTGGTGCACATTCAGGTCAGACCAGGTGTTCTGCTTCTCTGAACATGGGCTTTGGAATCTTGCTGCTCAGCTCTTCTTGAGTTGTGACATCGTCCTCGGGGCAGATTCTGCACCCAGGTCCAGATATTTTGTTAACCATCTTCTGCCCGTGCTATTAGCAGCTGTATCTCAACCCACACTCCCTTATACGGCCTGCCTTCCTACCTGTGTAAATGCTAGTTTGGCCCTGGAATAGGGTGAGAGGTGAATGGGGCCAGCCTGGCTCTTGCAAGGATTGGATGAGCAGGGACTCAGGGCTCATCCTGCTATTGCTGTAAACTACTAGAAAGTATGAGGAGCAAGGTGCCTGGGGTTCAACACTTGTAGCTCTCTGAGTTACCCCAACACCCCTCCAAACTCACTTCCTTATTGGTGTCAAAGTACAAACAAACAAACAAAAAAAGCAAAGCCAATGTTTGTGACAAATACTGGGTAATGAGGGATCGGGAAGCAAAGAATTGGTTACATTACCAGCAAACAGAAAAAGCCCTAATTTGGGCTACCAGATCAACCTAAAAACAAGCAAGCAATGGTAAGCAGAGCTGAGCCCCCTGGCCTAGCCACACTTTCCCACATGAATGCTGTGTACACTCTAGACCTCTCCTGTGACTACAAGCTTAAATCAAAAGGCAAGTGTTACTCAATAAGCCACTCATCACTGCTCAGCTCCTCCCAAGTTAGCTCTGTAGACTCTTCAGGCAAGATGCCCCGGATACCAGCGAGAGGCTGTCCATGGTCCATGGAGACCCAGGCTCCCTAGGTCACCCAGCACTGCTCTGTGCCTTTTTATACATCACAATGCCAGCAGCTACCCTACCTTACAAGCTGGCCTCCCCTCCAAGCTGCACTCCATGGTACCTGAGGTAGGAAGAAAAATGGCTGGGTATGAGGCACTGACTCACATACACAGAATAAAGTGGCATTCCTCAGCCCTCATAAAACTAAAGGCAGTTTCAGTGATTAACTGTATATGCCAATTTGGCCGGCAACTTTGTCACATATTTGGTTGTTGTGAGAGTATTTTTTTTAAGATTAATATTTACATCAGTGGATTTTTAGTTAAACAGATTATCCTGTTAGACTAGGTGGGCCTCAGCCAAACAGCAAAGGCTGCAATACAAAAACACCTGACCTGGGCAGAAGGGGAAAAAAAAAAAGGAATTCTACCAGGAAACTGCCTCTGAACCAAAACTGCAAATCTTCTGCTACCAGTCTACCTGCTGATTTGACTAACCGCATGCATGCTACAATCCTGTGTGCCAACGCTCGAAATCAGGAGAAGGGGGAGGGGGGACAAGCATAGAGATGCATACCAAAATCTCAGACCTTGGGAAGTAGAGACTCAGGCCAGCCTGGGCTACATGACACTCCCTGTCTCAAAACAAACAAGCAAACAAAAACAAAGAGATGGAGACATGCATGCAGAAATAAAGATAGATAAATGAGGAAAACACACACACACACACCCAGTTGTTTCTCAGGAGTACTATTACTAATACAAGTAGTCACAGACTTTGCCCCCAGACTCAAAACATCCATAGCTTGTGAACATGAATGATGCTGCTTAGAAATGACTCTAACAAGTAGTTTGGGAGTAGAAAATAGCCTTATACATATAACATTCTAGAGGCTGAATCAGGATGATGTGCCAAAGACCAGCTTGGGCTACATCCAGAGACCCTGCCCCCAAAATAATAAAAATGAACAACCTAAATACTCATCAGTGACAGAACCATTTAGCAAGTGGGGGTTCTGCAGAGAAACAGAACCAGTGAGAGGTCTGGGGAGGTACAAACATAGACCCTGACAAGGTGCTGCTTCATGAGTGAGTGTGAAAGCTGGTAAGTCCAGGAAAGCTGGTGGTGTGCTTCTGGGAAGCAGGAGAGCCAGTGTGAATCCCAGTCCACAGGCAGGAAAAGACCAGCACTCCAGTTCAAGTTGACAGGCATGAAGGAAGTGATTCTACCCCTCAGGACCTTCTGTTCCTGTCATGTCCTGGCTGACACTATCCATGCTTGACAGGAAACCCTTGTCACTAAGTTAATCCATCCAAACCCTGATCTCAGCATGAATACTATCCCTGATTCCAGATACAAGGATTTAACCTCGGCATCTTATGGTCCAGTAAGGTAACATTGTATAAGATACCTAGATTATGTATTAACATGAAAAATATTAAGGTCTGGGGAGCAGCATATGAGGCCCCAACTCCCTGCATGGCCAACCTCTTTGCCAAATCTCAATTCTGGAATCTTCTTTCATCTGTACATTATAGCATGGGGAACATGATCAATGCACATATGTGAACAAGAGAGAAAACTTTAAAACTTTTAGATTTTTTTTTGTATGTATAGATGTTTTGCCTATATGTATGTGTACATGCATCCCTGCATGATGTCTGGTACCCACAGAGGCCAGAAGAGAATATCAGATACCCTAGTATCTTGCAGATGGCTGTGACTCACCATGTCAGGTCTGGGAATCCAGCTTGGGTCCTCTGCAAGAGTGACAAGTGTGAGTACATCCTCCAGCCCCAGAACTTTTTAAACAGACATAGTCTCCAGAGAAATAAAAAACATTGCTATTACACAAACATAAACATCAAAAACACAGAACTAAGATAGAGCAGCATGGCATTTATGCCCCATAGAAAGATACTTTCACACATGTTTATGCCACACTTTACCAGGAAGAGCTGTGAAGTCAGCCATGATTAGTACCATGTACTCTAGAGCTGAAGAGAAAGAGTACTTAACTGATTGTGTGACTGTAAAGCAAGAGTAAACAACAGAGGACTGTGAAGAGCAGCCTGCAGCAGTAGCAGATGAACCGTGTGACATCACTCAGTGTGTGTGTCAAAGACCTCAGACATCATTGGCTAGACTCTGCCACACCCCTACAAGTAGATGCTTCCCTGGCCCAGGCCTCAGATGTGGCCAGAGACTCTGAGAGGGGGAAGGACTTGTTCCAAGAAAATACACACAGGGAGTATCTGAGAGCCTAGGTTGCCTTGCAGGCAAGGTCCACACTGCCCATTCCCCATGAGGCTGTGAGGGGCTCCATGAATTTAGACCTACATGCCACCCAGCTAAGGCAACAAGTGCAGAGAGATTGAGCTCTGAGAACCAGCAACCTGAGCCTAAGCATCAGCGTGGCCAACCACTCTGCCAAATCAACTCCATGGAGCCATGTTCTTTCATCCTTTGAACAGAAGTGCCACCCACCAACCTAAGATGGCATAACACTAGTCAGGGTTGCTGGTGTAGCACTGCTCTCAGGGTTTTTTGTCTTTCTGAGATAGTCTCATTTGGTCCAGCTGCTGACGGTAAACTCTCCATGTGCCTGAAGATGGCCTTGAACTTCTGTTCCTCCTGTCCATAGCCCCACCCAACCACAGGTGCTCCCATGACAGGTACGCACCACCACACTCAGTCCAGTTTGTGCAGTGTTGGAGAACAAACCCAAGACTTGGTGCTGTCAGTCAAGCATTCCACTAGTCCTGTCACAGTTCTTAGGTTCAGTCTTATTGTCACATATGAAGATCCAATCAGTGATACTTTTACAGGCCAACTCCACTTTCCTCCTGAGCTTCCTACATTAGTGGAAAGCTAGAGATGAAGAAAAGCCACAGCCTTTTACATCTAATGAAAACTTTCAAAGTATACATTTTGATGCTAATTTTGCATTAATCCCATTTAAATAGAATGTTTGCTTAATTCTCAGCAGGGCAAGGTCATAGAGATCTAAAGAATGAATAATGTCTCCAAAGAAATACAAAAACTGCACTACTTTTATGCCGATGGTGTGTATACATGCTCATATGTTCACATTCACATGTTTAACTACGTATGCACACATGCCTTGGTACATGTTCAAGTTCATGTGCCCACCTGTCCTTCCAGCATGTCTGAGTCAGGGCCTCTTGCTCTTCTCTGCTATGCATGCCAGGCTACCTAACTTGAAACTTCAGCCTCCCATTTCCTAGTGGGAGCATGGGAATAACATGGCTCTGCTGAGCCAGCTGGGATGCTGGGGTCCTGAACTCAGGTCATCATGCTTGCATGGCAAGAGCTTTACCCACTGAAACACTTCCCCAGACAAAACTCATTCATTTCACTCACTTCCTAGAAAATGGCTGATATGCTCATCAAGACCTCAAGTGAACTTACTTGTCTGTGGACTCAGAGTGGCCCATGTGCTTCCTCCCTGCTGAGTTCCCGTACACATCCTCCTCATTTTCATCCACATCATCATCAATGCTTTTCACATCCAGCTTCTGGTAGCCCAACTCCCCATTCAAAGATGCAGAATCAATTTTCCATGAATTGCTGCTCTGGCTCCCATTGGAATTTGGTCCAAAGGGGCTTTCAAAGGTTGACATGACGTTGATGGAGGAGCTTTCTACAGTCCCAGGCATCTTTTTTAAAGTGTCCCCATTGTTCTGCTCATCATCATCGTCATCAAAAGAGACAATGTTGGTCACCTTCTTCCTCCTCCTCCTCTCCCTTTTGTATCTGGCATCTGGCAAAAGAAAAGCTGTGGTAGTAGACAGAAGGAAGGCCAAGCTATATTCCTACGGGGCAGTAAAGCTTATTATCACACCAAGAATAAACTAAGACATCAGATTTTGTTTGGGTTCTCAGATTATGGGTTGTTTTTTTTTTTTTTTTTTTTTTTTTTTTTGAAAACAGATTTTTGTTTTGTACAATATATTCTGAATATGGCTTCCTGAAGATCCTCTCCACCTCCCCACCCACTCAAATCCTTTTCTCTCTCTCATTAGAAAACAAATAGGTATCTAATAATAAAATAAAAAACAAACCAGAAAAAGGTAAAATCAAACAAGCAGAAAAAGCACAAGAAACATACATGGACACAGACACACACACACATTCACACACAGAGAAAACCAGACACAACATCAGAAACCATACTATATAAGCAGAAAAGACCTGTAAGATTTTTTTTTAAATGCCCAAAAAAAGCATTATGAGACCAAAATCCCTTCAAAAATACCACTGAGCTTGTTTTACATTGGCCATCTACTGCTGGGTTTTTTAAAAATCATTTTTAAACGTAGGAGTGGGTGGGTGTGTGTGTGTGTGTGTGTGTGTGTGTGTGTGTGTGTGTGTGTCCTTGTGTGTGGTGTAATGTGTGTAGATCCCTTGGAGCTGGAGTTATAGGCAATTGTGAGACATGGACACTAGGAATCAAACTCTGATCACAGAAGCAAACACTGTGAAGACACAGGCACTAGAGGCAAAATCTACTACTGTTATTTTGCTAAAGCTCACACTGTCAAATATTCCTCTAAATATTTCTGTTTATACCCATATGTTAGTGATGCCCTCAACTTTGGTCAGAGAAGTTTCTTTTTGTACTGGGCAGCATTTTATACAGAGAGTTATAATTGGTCAAGGTGCTGAGAAGAAGCAACTGTGAGTGCTCAGTCCTATGAGCCATCTTTATCAAACCCATCCACCTCACCAAGGCTCAGTGAACACCATAGGAAAGGAGGAAGAAACAGCATAAGGTCCAGAAGGCAGGGAGCTATGTTTACTACATAAAACCAAGCCAGTCGATATTCCAGCATGGCAGAGAAGGGGGTCAAGAGGCCTCCCCCTGTCTGAGAAGCTATTGACAGTTGAAGGCCACTGAGGAAGGGAGTATGTTTGCTAAGTTGCCCGTGCTCAGGTGGATGGCCCCACACCATGCTTATATGGGTAGCACTGAGATTTTACATATAAAGAGGACATGACAGTGGGAAAGGGAAATGTTAGGGAAGGGTGAGAGGTAGACATGATCACAACACATTGCATACAAGTATGAAATTGACATTCTTTTTTTAAAAGGGATAACAAGATAAGTTCTAAAGGGAGGCCTGGGGAAATGGCTCAGTAGGCAAAGTTCCTGCTGCACAAGCAGAAAGACTTGAGTTTGGACCCCAACCCTGAGGAAAGCTGAGTATGGTGGCCTTCTGTATGCTATGATATATGCTTCTCTTATTGGTTGATGAATAAAGCTGTTTTGTCCAATAGACAGGTAGGATGTAACCAGGCAGGAAGTAGAGGTGGAACTACTAGACTAAGAGAATTGTGGGAAGAGGAAAACAAATTGAGTCTTGAGGCAGACACCATGTAGCTACCAAGAAGATAGGACACCTGGGCATTCTCCTGTAAGCCTAGACCACATGGAGATACACATATTAATAGAAATGGGTTAATAATTAAGAGAGAGCTAGCCAATAAGAAGCCTGAGCCATCAGCCAAGCAGTTCATAATTCATATAAGCCTCTGTGTGTTTATTTGGGACTAAACGGCTTCAGGACCAGGCAGGGCAAAACAGAAACTTCCATCAACAGTGATATACATCTGCAATTCCAGCCCTGGAAAGGCAGAGACAGGTTGATCCCTCGAGCTCAGTGGCCAACCAGTCTAGTCAATAGGTGAGCTCTGGGCTCAGGTGAGAGATGATGTCTCAAAACAAAAATAAGGTGAACAGCCATGGAGGAAGATGCCCCACACTGACCTCTGGCCTTTGCACTTAAATACATGTGCACACAAAATGCACAAACACACATACACAAAAACAGACAGACAGATAGAAATAAACAGATGGGGCCTGGTGGATTAGGATTGTAATCTTTTTATTGGGGGGGGTTCAAAATAGCATTTCTCTGTGTAGCTTTGGAGCTTATCCTGGAACAGGCTGGCCTAGAACTCACAGAGATCCACCTGCCTCTGCCTCCTGAGTGCTACCATTAAAGTCATGTGCTACCACTGCCTGGCTCAGAATTGTACTCTTACTGCTCAAATGCTAAGGTAAAAAAATCTAAGTTGAAGACCAGCATGGGCTACACAATCAGTTCAAAGCCACCCCTAACAGACCTTGTCTGGAAAACAGAAAGTAAGAAGAACTGAGTATATAGCTGACTGACAGAGCACTTGCCTAGTGTATACAATCTTCACTATAAAAAAATAAATGTATTTTAAAAATGTTTTCAAAGGGGTGGCCATGATTATTGACTTAAGGGATTTGGGAAGACAAGGAACAGTATTTAACCCCCAAGTTAACAACTCCAAATGCTCTAAGAGTATCATCAACTTCTGGCAAATGTATCGTAACTGAACCAAGTTTCCTTGGCTGTTCATAGTCAAAGCTCACAGTTACTTTCTTCCCTGTGGCCACTATATAAATAGCATCCTCCCAGTATAGGCAAACTCAAAAGCGCTCTCTGTGAAGCAGCCTATGCTTTCATCACATATACAAGAACAATAAGTTGCTCATGTCATTTGTTTTTAAATATCACCCCTGCCCATCCCTGAGAAGACTACGCAGGATGCTAGCAGAGTCTCAGTTGACTGCTGAGTCCCAAGAATATGAGGAGAAGGAGTAAATGGTAAAAGATGACTCACCTGGCATCCTAGGGCTGGCTATTTGCTTTTCTGCCCTTTCTGTTGGGTCCCTTCACAGTAAATGACTTTGCTCCCCAGAGGAGAGTGACAACATTAAGGTGTGTTCCTCTCAGCTCCACTCTTTCCCTTTCACTAGCCCTGCTGTGCCCCTTCAGGGCCCCTTTTGGCTCACCAACATTGACGTTCTTGGATATGACAGGCAGAGGGTCAGTCTCTTGTTCCGGCTTGATGAGAATAGAGACAGCAGAGGATGCTGTGATCTCCCTGAGAAGGCTGCTCATACCCTGCGTGGACTCCTTCAGCAAGGATGTCACATTCTGTGTTGACTCCTTTAAGAGGTCAGAGACAGTGGGAGCAAATTTGCTCTGCCCATTCAAATCCTTGTTGTCAATGTTAATTGCAAAGAGTATGGAGTTCAGGCCTGCCAAAGAAAGGGGGGAGGGAGACTTACTACCATGCAGTCACACCTCCAACATCACCAACAAGGCAGTCTACAAGGGACACAAGGGGACAAACCTCATCTTCAGTGTCTATAAAACCATCTGAAATTGGCATACAGATGCTCATATGAACAGACTTTCCATATTCCATCCCTGAATGTCAGGAAGATAAATGGCAACAAGAACCAGCCAGGAGATGACAGTGGCAGAAGTTCTGGAGAGAGGCTGCCTGGGCTGAGTCACAAAACAGCCACGCAGCAGCTCAGAGACCTTGGTCAAGCAACTTGCCACTTCCCTGACCTCTAATTTCTTTACCTGCACAATAGTGACAACAGTAACCCTCTTGGAATTGTGAACACTAAAGATTTCACCCACCAAAACTTCATCAAGAGCTCAGTGTGTACACTAAGAACGCCATTTCAATTGTTTTATCCAAGACTGAAACTGACATCCTATGACCTATAAAGAAAACCATGGCCAAAGCCTGACTTTCTTGTCCCTAGATGAGACTAACATGATCCTCAGTGTGTGAACTTAATGTCATGTTTTAGAAAGAAAAAGAATGTAAATGGGACAGTAAAGAATTTGGAAGAAAGACAAGCTGTCATGTTTATCATCCTTGAGAGGACAGTCAAGCATCAAAGGGTTTCTCAAGCAACAATATATCAACCCAGGACTTTGATTCATGCTGATAAGCCACATACATAACCTTTTCCTTTCTATAGCTGTCTTAACCCCTTAGAAAGGTGACTGAAAATCTGAGAGTGTCCTCACTCACAGCAAAGGAGGGAAGAGGTAACACAGCTGATAGAATCCAACAGACAAGCAGCAGAACCAGGGGTCAAGGCAGTCTGCCAACCCAATCCCCAGTTCTTTACAGTTCACCTGGCAGGCCACAGCCAAACCCTTTAACCTCGTGCTTTATCTGCATGGGTATCAAATTCGAGATAAAGGGCCCCAACTTAAAAAGGCAACAGTGATGCTTCCAATCAGGAGGACACAGAACATCACAGCACCCTGTTGGGCAATGAATCCACTCCTACAACCTCTTTGTTCAGCAAGCTTTTCAAGGTTCATCAACCCTTCCTCCACCAGGCTTACCAGCTGCCATAGTAGGGAGCATGCTGGACCTTTCTTCATCCATCACAAAAGACCAGTCTTCATAGAATGTGCTGAAAAAGCAAAGAGAATAGGGAAACTCTTAAAGGAAGGTAGTTCTTGGCATCCATACACTGGCCAATGATGCCGTTGATGGCTCCCTGGAAACTCTAGGCGTGGTCAGTCACCCAGAGTGAATTTTGTCCCTCTCCACTTTGAAGCTTCTCACTAGAAATAAAAGTCTAAATGCACACATCCTATGACTTCCTTCTTGGTCCCCTGAGACTGTGAACTTTAGAGGGCTGAAATAGACATATGCAAATGTATTTATAAAGAAGCAAAATTGAAGAAGAGGGATGGATTCTACTCACAAGGTACCCCAGAGACAGGAAGTTCAAGCTCACCAACAGGGCTCACTTGATTGGCTAATACAATTCAGGAGCAATTACAGAGTTATAAGGCTCCATCAACCAGGGCATCTACTTATAAAAACTGCTGGGCTACAACCCCAAACTCCAAGTTAACCATGGAAAAGGCTGGGATGGATTTCAGTAGCAGCTAGGTAGGGTCAGGAAAGCCTATGGGTAGGCAAGGCAATCTAGCCAATCAATGGTACAGCAGGACTTAAAAGCAGGTCTCCTGCCAGGTGGTTATGGCACACACCCTTAGTCCCAGCACTTGGAGGCAGAGGCAGGTGGATCTCTGTGAGTTCGAGACCAGTCTGGTCTACAAGAGCTAGTTCCCAGACAGGCTCCAAAGCCACATAGAAACCTGTCTAAAAAAAAAGGTGGGGGGGGGGGAGTCTCCAAGTCTAATTTTCAAGCACTTTATATGAACCTGTTAAACAGTAAACCACCAGAGTCCTCAGTGCCCAGGTAACAGAATTCTAAGTGCAGTTTCAATAACATCAGTTCAGTGTTGAGTGGCCTGCAATTCAGCAAGAGATGAGAAAAACTAGCTGCTTATGTGACTGACTACAATATTGGAGGGGTACAATGGAACAATGAAAAACCACCATGTCAAGCTAGCATTTAAAAGGTACCCAATTCCATACCAAATTGGGATCATTAGAAAATCTGAACTAGCTTTCATACATGTAAATGAATCTGGGGTATGAGTGTGAGTGTGTGTGTGTATGTCCATGAATGTTATTGTAAGTGTGTGTGTCCACGAATGTGAGTGTGTGTCCATGAATGTGAGTGTGTGTGTGTGTCTATGAATGTGAGTATAAGTATGTGTGTGTGTGTGTCCATGAATGTGTGTGTTTGTCCATGAATGTGTGTGTGTGTGTCCATGAACGTGCTTACATATGGAGACAAGAGAACACCCTCCAGTGTAATTCCTCATGATCATTTCTCCTTTTTTGACACTCTTTCACTGTCCTGGAGATCACCAAGTAGGCTGGCTGGCCAGTGTTTCCCTAAGGATCTTGCCTCTGCCTCTGCCTCTGCCTCCTCTCTGCCTCCTCTCTGCCTCTGCCGCCTCTCTGCCTCCTCTCTGCCTCTCTGCCTCTGCCACCTTATCACTGGGACAGGCACCACTGTGCTAACTCTTCTTACACGGATTATTGTTACTGTTGTTTTTAATTCATTTTTTTCTATTGGTTTTTTGAAATAGAGTTTCTCTGTGTAACAGCCCTGGCTGCCTTGGAACTCACTTTGTAGGCCAGGCTGGCCTTGAACTCAGAGATCTGCCTGCCTCTACCTTCCTAGTGCTGGAATTAAAGGCATGTGCCACCACCACCCAGCTTTCTTTCTTCATTGTTTTAGTTTTATTATTGTGTGCATATGTGTATGCATAATATGTGTGAATTTGGGCACACAGGTAGAGATCCATAAACAACTTTCAAAAATAGTACTCTTTCCTTCCACGTGTGCTCAGCAAAAGATTTTACCCACTGAAAGCCATCTCACTTGTCCCAAGAGTGTTTTTAAGAGCAATCCTAGAATACTCACAGAATCACTGACAGAACTACCAATAGAAGAAACATTGCAGCAGGGATAGCATGGGCAGACCATTTGTCTAGCATGCACCAGTACCTGATTTCCAGTCAAGAAAAAGTAAGGCAGAGAGAAGAGATGGGTGGGGGGAACAAGATTACAGATGCAGAAAGGGGAACCTGAGTCTGCAAACAACTGTCAAAACTGAAATCAAGGGACTATCGGAGTGCTGATGAGAAGCCAGCTTACTGCATTAGCGGAGTTTGGGTGTCAAGTCTATGTCCTGCTAACATGTAAGTTACACAAGGTGGCCAGAGAGGTTTAACCAAGGCCCCTCAGGTCATCAGGTGACATAAACTGTATCTAGTCTACTATCCTCACAGGGAAAATAACTGCTAAATTTAGAGCAAAAGAAAACCATGACAAGGGATGCCACCAAGTAGGATCCTCTCTATGTATATTAGAGTGATTTAGTTTGTAAGCCAGTGGTTTCTGCAGAAGTTTCAATGTTTCTAAGGAGCTGCCCAGCTATACCATCTTTGGCTCTGCCTAGTGATCTCTTCCCACTGTTGAAGGCTAACCATACTGCTGCCCAGTTGCTGAACTGAGATTGCGGCCATGTGACCCTCCCTGCCAATGGGTCAGGAGTGGAAGTCTCTCTGGGGACAGGAGCCTAACCATTCAGCGCTTACTTCAACAGCAATCCCTTTCCTATTGGAGATCTACCTCTTTGGTAGGCTCATCAGTCTGGGCTTCAGAAGAGAACATGGAGAAATGAAAGTGGCCAACTCTGAGGCTTCTCAAGTATTGCTCACTACAACACAGCCTGACCTACACTACCTGAATAAACTTTATACACAAGAAAAAAAATAACATAATAAATTGAAGCTTTTAGTAGAATCAAAACATGCCGGGTGGTGGCGCATGCCTTTAGTCCCAGCACTTGGGAAGCAGAGGCAGACAGATCTCAGAGAGTTCGAGGCCAACCTGGTCTACAAAGTGAGTTCCAGGATAGCCAAGACTGTTACACAAAGAAGCCCTGCCTTGAAAAACCAATCATTAATGAATTAATTAACCAATTAATTAAAAACCCTTCCTTAATGTCTCCTATTCTGAGCAGGCCTAGTCATGTAGACCTATAATCCCAGCAGTAGAGAAACAGTGAGTTCCAGGCCAGCCTAGACTACACGTGAGACCCTGCCCCAAATAAACAAAAGAACAAACAAGACTTCCATATCTTTGGTCAGTATAGGATGGAATAAGCTGAAGAATTCCAAATAAAAACTCTGTGGAGTGAGGGTTAGCCTGTACCCTGGGGCAATAGCTAAGCAGCCTTGATCACAGTAAGTACTAATAGAATCTGGCTATGCAGTGCCACACAGAGTCCCTTCTAAGCATTGTGGCTTTGGTTCTCACACCAAGAGAGAAGCTGGCAGGGCTGCAGTGGGGGGACTAGGAAAAAAAGGTCTGTGTCCAGATTCTTCCGCCATGTCTGGGGCTGTCCTGCTATGGTACCTGAGCCTGGCACGGTCAGCCAGGAGCGTATGCAGGTAGCGCTCCAGGGAGTGCTCATTGAGGGCGCAGCGCAGCCAGGCCCGACCTCGACCCACATCTGCAGAGATGTGATGCAGCGAGTAGAAGCGTTGCAGCTCATGCTTGTTGAGGACCTCCTTCACGTAGAACCAAAACACGGGCTCTGGGGAGAGAGGGCAGCAGTATGTCACTGTCATCTTCAGAGCAATGGTCATAGGTGACTTTATGGGGTGTAAATGCCATTACTTCCTTAGCACAGATAAAGCAGAACAAAGCAATAATCAAAAGGAAACAGGCCTCAGAGCCTCCTACCCTGAGACTGCTATTCTCTGTTAACATTTTCAAAACCTTCATGCCAGGATTTTTTTTCTTGCACCTTTGTTTTTATACAAAAATCAACATTTGTGGCCAGTAAATTATGCCCCCCCCCAAACATAACTACACACTAGTCTCTGAAATTAGCCTGTGACTGTAGCCTAAAGTAGCAAAGGAGTGTTGGTACCTGATTGTGTCAATCCCCAAGGACACAACACATTAACATCTGTCTTCATGAGAAGACAAAGAAGCTGACCCATGGGGAAGAAGGCCATGTGACTAGGGAAGCAAAGATTAGAATGGTGTGGCCACTTACAAAGGATGCCAGCAGCCAGTAGAAGTGTGGAGAGGTGAGAATGGCTGCTACCCTGAGGTATCAGCAGGACCAGTCTGTCACTGTCTTCTTGACATGTTAGGCCAGTGAAACTGACCTTGGAGAGCAAATCTCTTAAAGCCAGACACAGTGCCATACAACTACAGTCCTGGCTAATCAGGAAGCTAAGTCAAGAATATGGCTTGAGCCAAGGAGTTCAAAACAAGCCTGGGCAACATAGCAAGATCCCATCTCAACAACAACAAAAAAATATGTTATGCAGTATATTATTGAATGTATATACATATAATTCTGTATCTTGATTCAGTTTTTTCTAAATCATGAACATTTTCCAGATTCAAAAGGCCTCAGAACACTTATGTTGTTACTTATTCACCCAGTCTGCACACTGAACATGATTTTTGGCAGTTTCCCGGTGGGATATAATTTAGCTCTATCTTGATTACAAAGAACACACTACATTGCTGCTTCCCCTTACACAACAAAGAACATCCTTGGTCATAAATAATCACCCTCATTTCTAGATCCTCAGGAGACCTTCCCAAATGGTGAACTACTTGGTATAAGAACAGGAACAAATTTAAGGCTATAGGAAGGCTAAATAAAGTTTATTGAGCCATTCTTACTGGTATCTCTTCAAGCCTACCTTTCTTATCCACGTGTACAAATTATTTGGGAGTTGAAATTCTAGTATATACCTCATTTTGTGATCACTGTTCTTTACAACATCGGTTCACTGACATTTCTTCATTCTATTGTCAATACTACAATGACAGTTTTTAGCTCTTATTAACTGTGCACCAGCCATCGCCAAACATTTCATAACTGACCTCACTCAAACCAAGGTCATTTCATTCAAAGGCAGGCCCTGGACAAGTCTCACATAGTCAATGTAAATGTTAATAATAAGCACAGATGAGCAGGTGTGCAATACCAAACACACGCCACTGACATCACATTTGCCTGACACCTTCAAAATGAGCATGCTTACAAATGCTTGATTTCTAAGTGAGCAGAGCCAAACAGGTTCACAGACCCCTCTGAGAATGTTAAAGTCATTGAAGTTTCCTTCCAGAAGAATGCAAATGTGCACAGCTCCAAAAATTAAACCTGGGATTACAGGCTAACTGGAGAAAAAAGCAGGTAGAGTGTTGAGCACAAAGCCCAAGCGGGCCACCCAACAATGGCAGCATGGCACAAGAAACCAACACCTGTGGCTAAGAAGAGGTGCTGTGTAATCTCTCTCTCTCTTTCTAGGTCAGTAGCGCCTAAATGTGTATGTATGAGTATGTAGGTATTTGGGGGCTCAGCCACTCTCCCAGATCTTTTAACTTCATTACTTATTTATTGTGTGTATCCATCACAATAATTCACAAAGGTCAGAGAATAACTTGCAGGAATCTGTTTTCTCCTTCCACCATGTGAGTCACAGAGACTGAACTCAGATTGTCAGCATAGGTGACAAGAGGCTTTACAGCTGAACTATCTTACTGACTTAATTTTTTCAGAATAAACTTCCCAGGATGAATGAGAATGTGCAGTTCACCCTCAGCTCTCACACGACAAACTCACTTGACTATACAACCACACAGAAGAGGCCATGATCCCTTCTCTGCCTCTGCAGTGTCCTGTGATCTAAACCATCCTTTCCCAGAAAGAGGAAGGCTCTGAAGATGTGCAAAGTTTAGGAAACTCCTGAAGGTTTCAGGATTCCTAGGGCCCCATCCTAAGTCAGAAAGGCAGCAAACACCTGGTCAGGAGAGGAGACTCTTTGGTGGCACTGCCTCCAAGTCAGACGGAAAGCCTTGCAGCCTTGTTATCACCTATGCTGGGATGCTTTTTACGATACAGCTTCCCGAGTCATCCATGCTTCTCTAAGTAACCCTAATAAACTCACTGGTTCATCAAGTAGACTTAGGTGGAGTCTTTCTTTCTTTCTTTCTTTCTTTTTTTTAAATCACTTCCCTATCTGCTGTGAAAAGACATTTGTTCATGTCCCAGAAAAGTTACATTCAAACACCAGAACATAGCCAGGCGTTGGTGGCACACGCCTTTAATCCCAGCACTCAGGAGGCAGAGGCAGGCGGATCTCTGTGAGTTTGAGGCTAGCCTGGTCTACAGAGCGAGTGCCAGGATAGGCTCAAAAACAATAGGAACAATACGGAGAAACCCTGTCTCAAAACAACCAAAAAAAAAAAAAAAAAACAGAACAGGGAACTCTGGGGAGCTCCCTCAGCCAGCAACTGACTCTCACTGATTCCCTGTCTTCTGAAAATCTGCAGTGACCTCCCTCTGACCTTGAATACCAGTAGCACATTAACATGAAGAGTGTTTCACCTTTTCAAGTTTGCAAATTGCTTACCATGAGCATTTTTTCAAGCCTGTCAGTGATGCTGGCTGATGATAAGCATTATCCCAGCAGGGATCCACTTCAGAATTAATGTGGTCTATTTAAAGTGCAGCTCACCTGCCATTTAATGCAAGCAGTGGCCATAGTTTAATTTGGAAATCTATAGCAATCTGCTTTGAAACATGGGGTAAGTTCCAGAAGCATGCCAGGGCTTCCACTTCTCAGAGCACTGAAGCCAGCTGCCAGCAAAAAGAGAGCCAGGAAGGGATGCCAAAGTGAGCTGTCTGGGGGCCTCTTTGCAGCTGACTGACAGAACCAGCTTTCCACAGTTTCTAACAGGCCTTGGCTTTCACTGGCAATGCCAAAGTCATATCTTCCATAGGCACAGAGGATAAAGTGCTTGATGAGCAACAGGAGGACCCAAGCTCAGATCTCCAGCACCCATGTAAATGCCAGATGCAGCTGTTACTGGAGTTTCTTGTCCCACCAAGTCCTGCTGCTGCTTTAGGCCCAAATAAATACACAGATTCTATATTACTTATAAAACTGTTGGCGATGACTAGAGCTTCCTATTGGCTAGCTCTGTCTTAATTATTAATCCATAACTACCTATCTATGTATTTCTACATGGCCTTATCTTACCAGAGAATGCCTGGCACATCCTATCCAGGCTCTACATGGCGTCTCCTCATACGCCTCTGCCTACCTTTCCCAGAATTCTCCTCATCTCCCAGTCCACCTATCTTCCTGTTTCTATTGGCCAAACAGTGTTTTATTCATCAAACAATAAGAGAAACATAGATACAGAAGGACGTTCCCCATCAGCACATGCCTTTAATCCCAGCACTTAGAAGGTAGATGCAGGTGAATCTCTGTAAGTGAAAGCTAGTCTATATATGGAATTCAGGCCAGCCAAAACCTGGGTACAAGAGTGCACCTATAATCCCAGCACTGGGAAAGCAGGGACAAGAGGATCCCTGGGCCTGCTTGTCAGCCATTCTAACCCAGTCAGTGAGCTCCAGCTTCAATGAAAAGGTTGTTTCTCAAAAAATAAGGCAGAAAGCAAGTAAGGAAGACACCTGACATGACCTCTGACCTGCATAAACACATATACACACACCCACATTCAAACTGTGAAATAGGAACACATAATATGTGTATGTAAGTTGACTCAATCAGTGTCAGCCATAGCAAACATACCTGCTTATAATGTGTACAATGGTAAGCAGCTATTGATATCATCATTACATTGAAGCAAAAAGCCTAGCAGAAAGTTTCCTCAACAGCATCCCTCTCCTTGCTCTGGAAACACCCCTTTTTCCTATGACAAACATGTGGTTCCTTAAGATGCTCTTACCCTGTCCTCTTCCACTCCAACAGTGGCAGGTCCCACAAGCTGAGAGGTAATCAGACCACATGAGGGTGTCCACCTCTATGACAGTTTCTCCCATTCGTGTTGTTAGATTTGTGCTCTTCATAGAGTATTCTTTACATTAATTTTGATATTTAAAAATGTATGTATATATTGTGTGCATATGAATGCAGGTACCCACAGAAGTCAGAGATGACAAATCCCCCTGGAACTTGAGTTACAGGCAGTTGTGAGCAGCCCAACATGGATGCTAGGTCCTCTGCAAGAGAAGTACATGCTTTTAACCTGCTAACCATTTCTCCAGATGTGATGAGATAGGGCTTGTGCCCTGCTTTATCTGATGAGCATCTGCACAGTACTGATGGCACTGAGCAACAGCTCTAGAGCCTGGGGTTGGAGGGACAGCCACTGAGCAACAGCTCTCCCCCAGAGCCTGGGGTTGGGGGGACAGCCACTGAGCAATAGCTCTCTAGAGCCTGGGGAGGACAGCCACTGAACAACAGCTCTCCCCCAGAGTCCACTGAGCAACAGTTCCCCTCCAGAACCTACTGGGGACTCTTTCAGTGCCTCAAAGGGTTACAACTGAGCAGAGTAAAGCTGTGGTGATATATTATTTATGATTTATTATAAGCTTGCCTGAAGATTCAGAAAGCAAAGTCAGCCACAAGCAACAGAAGCCAGGCACACACCTCTAATCCTGGCAGCCAGAAGCTAGGAAGTGGTGGTACACATATTTAATACTAGGACTCAGAATTAAGAGGTAGACAGATCTCTTTGCTTTTCTAAACTTCA